GCGGCAGTCTACACGCCGATGGGTGTGACTAAGCGGGCACCCATCCAAGTACTAACCCAACTGAGCGTTGCTGAGCTTGGGTGATCGCCGTTGACCCCAATACTTTCCATCACGTACTGGACAAGTTCCAACAAGGCGACAGTATACTAACGCCCTCAGGGCCGACAGGGGTCGCGGTTTCCACCTAAATCGCCTTTGGATTTCCTATGCCTTTGGGGCCTCATCGGAGGAAAGTCTAACATGCCATCTACTCGAGGCCTTTTTGGCTTCCGCTAGATATGTTTTCTTCCTCGACTGTCCATACAACAGGGTTCTTTTCATATTAAGAGGGATTTCAGCCCGTGACGAGAAACATTTTGTTACAAAGCAGTCGAAGGGACCGAAAGATGACCACCTTTTGCATATGACCAGCCAATATTAGGGCATTATTCCTGCAGACTGGAATTAGCTCAAGCGCAGATACGAAATCCATCTCACCGAGAAAGCCAATGATCAGGACCATCAGCCTGACCCCAAACCCGCGGTTCCACCGACGTAGCTCAAATAAGAGAAGCTGGTATTTGAGCCGTTTCTCTTGTTCCTTCGTAGATATATTGCTCTAGGCTGGCGTCCAGAACTCAATCACGTAGATGACTTTGTCGCAGGAACAGACCTGATAGTCGCACACGAGAAGTTCCCTTAAATCTTACACTTGTCATTCACGGCAGCGGACTTGAAGTCTCCTGGAGCATAAGGCAGAATCGGCGTCCGATCTATGCCATAAGAGTACCGTAGATGGTAATATAACACTCTCAAAGCCGCATTATGACGCTGGATGAAACTCGTTACTGCATATGTCGCAAAAGTCGCCAAAAGATGCATCAGAGTTTTCGAGGACTGTTTGCAAGCACGACACCTAACAGCCGGAACTTGCAACTCCATAACACAGCTCCGATAGACCAGGGTGTTTATCACATCATCCTGATGCGCAAATACAACCCTCGGTTTCGGACATCAAGCCAGCCGACTTAAAAAATGAGAAAGTCAACTGGACAGACAAGCCCTATTCTTGCACATGCCTGAGAAATTCACTAGGATAAATCGTGGAGAGGAGTATTTAATTTTTGACCGTAGAGCTGAGACAAGCCAGCGCTTTCTGGTCTTTGCTGCTGACAAAAATATTCGATACCTGGCAGTGTGACGGGATTTTTTGGACTGTTTCGAAGATATTTAAAAAGTTGTACACAATCCATGGGCTGATCAACGAAAAGTCGATCCCCGAGCATGAAGTTCATTCGTCATCAGGAATTTCTCTTGAGCGCTACGAAGAATTTCATGGCCGACTGTGATAGTGTGGCATATTTACGTGCTAAAGCTAGTAAAATTCGTGTTTGTGGATTGGTTCGAGAGAATCGGAATTGACACTCCGGTGTGTGACTTCTCGGCCTTTCTGTCTATCCCTAGTGTCTCCCAGCCTTTCCATCTTAGTTGTTGCTTTCTGTGCCTCTTCATTTTGAATGACCTGGTTCTGCAGTGGGACCCTATCTATGTTACTCTGAGTGTTTTTCTTCTCTATATCTTGCGTTGTTGTCCTTTTGAGCTAGCTTTTAACCAGGCACGCTTCTAATTGTTCTATCTGTGCCATGACCTGCCTCCCCCTGCTTTCTGGGCTTCGTTTCTCAGATCCATGTCTCGTCCTGCTTACCGCGCCAACTCTTCTTCCCTCTTTTACTTTTATATATCCTCCTTGCTCCTCCCTCCCTTTAACATCCTTAATGCCGTCGTAGCTGACCTATCTTATGTTTATTCTTGTCTCACTGTCGTTTTTATCTCCCGCTTCGTCGACTGTTTTCGCCGATACATGTTCCTTCCCCTTCACTCTCTTCTATCTGGTATCTTTCCAGATTGTCAAATTGTTTTGTCCTCTTGATGCTGTCATCATCATTTGCTGCTTCAAATGCCATGGAGGTCAGGCGATCGACCTTCGTAGCGCTGTTGTCGCTCAATGAGTCCAGCGCTGACGTGACCATCAACTTAGAGGGTTTTATGATTGCTGCTATGTTATTTGTATTGTTGTGGTCTATTTCGTATGCGGAATGTCGTTTTCTGCACTCCAAATCGCCATCTAGCAATATGACTTCAGCTACTAGTATGTAAGTGGGGTACAGTACGTCCTACGTTGAAAAATCAAAGCAATATTGATCCTGCAGACTTGCGTTTTGGAGTGATTGGTATAATGGAGGTTCAAAGAAAGCAAAATATGTCAAAAAATGAGTGCGTCCATATTAACAATCATGTTTAAAAATTGGAATTATTTCTAATATAATACGCGATTGATATTCCCAGTGGAAACTTCCCACCGATCTCTCCGTATATAGAACCTGGTATCGAAATGTCGGACTCCTTGATTGGACGATTTATGTTGAATCATGTTCAATAACCGAAGAGATGTAGTTTCCGGCGAAACGCGGCAAAACTTTGGTTGCATTGTCGGTAAATATATTATTCTAATGCAGAACGATGAAGTCTGCAGTCTATAGCAGACATTCGGCTTCATCGTAGTTACCTATCTTAACATATATTTCAACAAATTTGCTTAAAATTGAACAAGACGATGATATGGCTGCATATACTTACCAAAACGCCGGTAAAAAGGCATTGTAAATCACACAGGGCTCTCGCATTGCTACTATAACGTCTTCGATACTGGGAATGCTTACAGTGTACTAAAAAAATATCAAGTTTTCGAAATATCTAAAAAAAAGTCTGAAATTGTGGAATTGCCGTATGAGTAATTCCCATTAATTCGAATGAACTTCGTTTATGATTTCAAAGGAAAAAGAAATTCACGCCGGCGAGGACGTCTGGATTAAAAAAGAAATTTACGACAGGATTCGACTGAATGCGAAGTCTTACTCTCTCTTTGTGAAAGAAGTCAGCTTCGCTATTATTGGCGAGTCCATGGCTGAGTACTCAGTGACGGGAAAAGTGGCACCTCGTACGGGGATCAGAAAAGAAAGCTTGTGTCCCACTAAACTTCTTGCTGTCAGGGGTAGGTGAGATGCTACTCATCAATCTTTTTCACAGATCGACTATTGGTCAAGGAGAATAGCTGTACATGTAAAGAAATTCGATGGGATATGATTTTCTCATTAAAATGCAGTCACTCCTATTATATCGATTCTGGTCAATTACCTTCCCATATAATATTTGATGAATATAATTGTTACTCCTCGCGATGCGAATTGGACTGAACTCAGTAAGATTTTTCTGGAAAAATACCAACTATCCATCAATTATAGCTCGATTCTTGTAGGTATTGCAATATGTTGATCTATTGATGACATAATATTTATATTTTCTTTCTTCTATCATGAATGTTAATATCACTAATGGACGTATATATAGGGTTATGAACTAAATAAGAATGGTTAGTCTGACCAGATTAGTTAATTTATCATCCTATATGACCATTATGTGATCTCGAGTATATTGCATGGTAAGGTATTTGCAGTGTTGCCTAACAATATTAGTTCAAATTAATTGGAAACGTATCGGTTTCTCCCGCAAGGGTACCGGAACTGTCCTGCGGCTAGTTTCTAATGATACCGGATGGCCAATAGTTCCTTTTTCGTCTCCAAAAAATTATCGGTATAGTTTGAGCATTGAAAATTCGGGAAATTACTCTTGCGCTTTTACAGTCGAGGGACGTAATACGGTACCGCAGAGTAACAATATGAATAATTAAACAGCTTTGGAAGTTTCACTGAATAGTCTGATCCACTGAAGAGAAACTTTTATCTATCGTGCTGGTTCAGAAAGAATGAAATAATCAATGATGTTATTATTCGAATGCAGGTATTTTCGAGCACTATTTGCGCACTCACCGTCTCATGAAGGATGATGCAGAAATAGTTTTAGAGCTGGATGAGGTGGGACGGTATGTGGGGGAGAAAATCAATGATATGATTCAAGCCCCTAAAAAAGCAGGTAGGTTTTTTACGTTATGTTATCGACAAGATGTGCTATAAGCGATTTGAAGAAGCCACTACTCACTACTTTCGTCGCATCATCTCTGACTATCACTCGCATTTTCACTCTTATCTTCACTTTCACTCAATTTTTTCAGCTGAATATTGAAAACGGACGCAGCCGCGACCTTGACTGTACTGGCTACTCTGCCCTGATAGAAGGATTCGGTAGAAGTTATATCGGCTCGGTAACCAAATAGTCGGTTGCCTCAAATGGTTCTCAGTTAATTCAGCACAAAATCGAATGTATTCAAATATGGTGGAAATTAGCGGACAGTTGAGTGAGATATTATTTGTTGTATTTATGATTGAATATTCAGTTTCGATCAATAAATAGAAAAAAGTACTCAACCAAATACGTACAATTAGTAGAATGTAATCCTTCTATCAGTATGGGGTAGCACCAATAGAGAGTGGGGTGTAGGGTGTACCAATCACGTGAAAAGCATCCTAAGCAGTGGAGATGAAAGTTGAATGACCTAAAGATGATTGAATCATTATTTTCTTTTTTAATATTAAAACTGCCTGTGCGTTATCCTATAAAATTCATCGTGGTATCTCTAATTTGGAAATGAACGATTTTAGTAGAGAGGCAGTTGCTGGAGGGCCAAGGTTTACCAGCAATAGTAGCTCGCTTCAAGGTCAACGTTCTTTTCTATCGCATAGTCGTGAACACGCATTATGAAGAAAAACGTGAATGATAAAGTAGTTATTCCTTTTCTAATCGTCATTGAAAATCTTTCGGTTTCCATAGATGCTGTCGGATGCAGGTACCTACAGCTTGATCGAATTCATTGGCTGCGGATCTCCTTAGTCGCTCCTTATCCCCTCGTCTTACCCGATTGAACGTAATTTAGTGACGTAACCCAGGGTTGCCAGATGGCAGTTTTTTCCAAAAATCCTTTTCGATTTTTCCAGAATAGGGTAGATCATAGAAAGCTCCGAATGTGATATCAACTACGTTGTTCGCAAAGTGTCAATTCATCGCGTGATCGCCTTCACTCAACTGACTGTATGAAAAAACCGCCATCTGGCAACTGTGACCTAAAATCAACTTTACTTCAAGGGGAGGTAATTGTTTTCTTATATTAGTAAATTGTATGGTGCCAGATCATATGACCTCAGTAGGTCTTTTACCAACCCTTTCCAGTACCTCCACGGTACCCCAGCCTAATTCCTTACCCACACTTTCCTCTAGCTAACTTAGAACTAAACTCCATAGGCCATCAGTTAGTTTTCCGACGATGAAAAATTTCTTACTTTCGGCACTTGAACCTGTGCTACTGGGATAC